CAGATGTGAGATCTTCAAATGTCCCGTGTGCAGAGTGTGATACTCTGTACCAGCGTGAGAATCTGTTCTAGACTCTGCTCTATGTGGGCTGAGAAGAAACAGCCCCCCCCCCCCGACGAGAAGGCCACTTCCCAGGTGATAAATCACAGATGACAGAGGGCATTACACGCACAAACGGACCGCCGCTGCCGCACCTTTAGAACAATTAATTAGCTGGCTGACACTCATTTATCACGGCAGCAATAAGGTGAAAAAGTCAAGAGTTTATTAAAGCCCCGCTTCATTTTCAGGAGCTGCGGGCCAGAGGCTGAGACACTTCACGTACACAAACAGCAGCGACACGTTCACATTCTTCCTTCAGAGAGGATCACAATAACACAGTACACAATGAAACAGAAAACAACACGCCTGTAAACAAACGTTTGGCAATTCAAATCAAGGGTGATAAATTAGAGTTCCACTCTGTTCACAACACAAGCTTATGATGTATGATCAAGTATGTAGGCACAAAAAGAAACACAAGAAGGTTTGGCCTTGGAAATAAATACTGTACACATCATCATCATCATCATCATCATCATCATCACACTACACGGCTACCTGGCATTCAGATTCTACGAGAACAGTTTTAAACGTCTGTACAGAGTAAATATTTGGAGCCATGCACTGTAGATCTGACACGCAGTCTTAGAGCGGACGGACTGTGAGTGACGGGGTCAGGAGTCAACAAAGACAAACCCACAGCGAGGTTTGTTTCTGAACACTCAGTATAGGGGACGGGCTGCTCCCAGAAGCATGCACACAGAGCCTGGACGGGCACCAGAGTGACACATGAGGGCACGCTGTGACACTCGTCATGAGCCCTGACGGAGCAGCAGCGGGCAGCTGCTGTTTTGACGGCTCTGACGGCGTCACCGCGGGGACGTGGAGGATGTGTCAGCGATACGGAGACAAGAGGAAGACTTCTGAATGCCCTAAAACGCTAAAGACTAATATCTAAGTGGGTATTTCTGCTAACTACACTAGCTTGTGTCGACTGAAGACGCTGCATGGTAAGCATTACTTTACTGCTAAAGCAGACACAGTTGGCTTTTTAAAAAAAACACACCAACTTGCCCTCCTTTATACTTAAAAAACACAACACTCAGGTCAAAGTTTAAGTGCGTCTGCTAAGAGTTTCCCTCTGGAATGATGAGGGCGACTTCAAATCCGTTATTCTGAAACGATCGGATGAGAAGTCAGATATGTGGAGGAGGTTTAACAAAAGTGCAAAATGCCAGCTTTGTACCGGAACAAATAAAATGTAATTGGTCGAAAGTTATTCACGTAAAATGTAAGGAAAGCACCTCGAGGTGAAGAGAGGAACGAGTCATGAAAACGTAAACAGAAAACGAGAAGAGGTAAGCGAGTCGCTGCGTCTTCACGCTGCTGTACTTCCACACTTGGAGCAACATAGCAGAGAGGAACCGCTCATCTCAAGCAGCTCTGAAACAAACGTATTACACTCAACACAATCTCTCAGATTCAAACACAATAAAAAACACAAATCTCCCGTAAAAAGGTGCACTTAGCATCCTTGAGCGCTGCGTCTTCATGTTCCAAAGTGTCCAGTCAGTTTGATCTCCACCTCACTGTCTGCGTTTAGAGGCTCATTACACACCGCAGAGTCTCAAACCTCAGCACGCGTATGTGTTTCATGTCTAGTCAAACTTACGGGTTAAGTGTCTTGATACGTTATACTAACTAATGAAGATATTACATCTGTTTTCAAGACACATAACAAGGGAAATTTGAAGCCATAGTGGCTGTTTTTTTTTTTTTTTTACTTATTTCAAGAGATTAAGGCCTTCATTTGGCTTGTTATATCTTTAAATATGATGTTTTAAGCATTTTCTTTACAGAGACAGGACAGGGGATAGAGTCAGAAATCAGGGAGAGAGAGAGAGAGTGGGGAGTGACATGCAGGAAAGGAGCCACAGGTTGGATTCAAACCTGGGCCAGCAGCTTGGAGGTCTACAGCCTCCGTACCTGGGGTGTGTGGCACTAACCACTAGTCTAGATATCTAGACTATTCATGTGAATGTGGCTTAAATGATGCAAATACACTTGATAAGATTAGAGTTTTTTTGCAGAGCAGCATCTGACTTTGATCTGACTCTGGATAAAATGTTCAAATGAAACATGAGAAACCTTAATTTAATTTTTTTCTGAAATCATGAGCCTCTCCAGGTGTCTGATCATCTGTGTGCAGCTGTTTCTCGATTTCTCACAGTCTCAGTCTCTGTCTTCTGTACCAACAAAGACTGATCAGATACTTACTGATCAGGTTTGTTTACACGCTTCAGAGAGGCTTCCCAGGAGAAAGGACTTATGAGGACTCTATTACGATCAAACAAACTCTTGATCATCACCAGGACACTAAGTGCACACGTAGACAAACTGACCCTCTCACATCCTGTTTTTAAAAATCATACGTCACCTCAACAAAGTAAGGACCCCCTCTTTTTATGGCATCTTTGAAGACATCTCGACTCATGACATGTGGAACAGTTGCATCCATCAATGGACTCCATGTGAAGCTCGATTACTCGTTTTTGTTTTGAAGTATTGCTTGAAAGATGTTGAGCTTATTCCAAAATGGTTTTGTACATACATGCATGTTCAGGATTTGCAGATGAAGACTATTAAGTGGATGCAACTGGAGCTAGAAAAATAATCAAAACCTAGAACTTGGAAGTGTGTAAAGTCAGCAAAAAGTCCAGACTTAACCAAACATCAGTTCCATACACACATAGTGGCTTCACGTTACAGATTTATAGTCCAGCTCAGTTTTTGGTTGGACAGTTGTTGGTCCGGTTTGGATCAGAGGCGGTCGCGATGGTCCCGTTCCTCGGCCTGACTCGAGCGGCATCCTTCAAACGCCTCAATCTGCCTCTCTCTGTGTCTCTCTCTCTAAGCCAACTGGTCGTCTGTCCCGAGTGTCTATGGGAGGTGAGGTGGCTGCCCGGGCTCTCACAACCTGTGCAATGCAAAGATAGAAAGAGTCAGGGCAGCACACCTCACACCCACCGACCAGAAACCCCTCAACAAGTGCAACAAGCGACTTTAAGGCTCCAGAAGAAAACAACACAAACACATCTGTTGAGCCTTTTCTCTTTAGCTTCTTCTACTCAACCGCTCTCTGCATGGTGCGTCATATTCTTAAAGCAGAACTTCACGTTGTTACATTAAATATAATAAATATGTCAGAAAAGTACGTCTCTAATACAGTTTGTCTGAATCTATCGATTTAATCTACAAGGGCAAATGAAGAGCGATCACATATTTGGAGTGAAAGGTGAATGACGGGTGATTCAACGACCTGCCTGATGTGTTCTTTTTAAAAAAATGAGCATTTTAAAAGAATACGTTTCATCAGTTCAACAACAGGGTTAATTTAATTTGTTAATCAGCCTATGATAAAAACATGTTAAGGCATTGCCTGCGACCGCACTCCGAACACAGAATATGAACTGTTACAATCAAACGGAGATACAGGGTCCCACGTTTTAAGAAGGTCAGACTGACTCACTCCTTTGTTCATCAGTCAATTCTAAAATTGAATGCGAGATGAATGAATCCCAGATCAAAGCATGTTAAAGGCCTCTGAATGTTTGTTCGGTGTTTGAAGGTTGAGTCTATTGTTTGTATCCTGTCTTTAATTTGTATGTTTGCAAACGGAGCCGCTGTGATGGAGTTGAAGAAATGGTTCCAGTTCTGTAGATAGTAGGTCACTTCTATTGTATCAAGAACAACAGGAGGATGGAGGATGATGAAGACGATGGAGGAAGTGTGAAGAGTGGATCAACAAAGAGAATGAAAATATGAAGCGTAGCGAGAAAAGATGCGGAGATTTTTTTCCCAATAAAAAAATATAAATGCTTCCAAAACTGGGAAAAAAAGCAAGAAAATGGTAAATACAATGTGTGTGTGTGTGAACCTACTGTGACTTCACCCACTGGTTTCCACACCTCCAGAGTTTTAGTTGTTTAGAGCGTGAAGTCTAGTATGTTTGGATGACAGGGATGATACATTCAGGTTGACAGGTTGCTATGGTAACAACAAGTCCCGGGCCTATAGCATCAAGCAAACTGCGCTTTAACGTCTATTGAATCACTAAATGAGATAATAATGTACAAAAAGAACAGTTTCAACTAGGGAGTGAGACCATTTACTCGTGACAAAATGTTCTCAAAGACCTTTTTTAAAACATGACGGTGGATTCATCACCTGCTGGTCATTTCAGAGAATGCAGGTTTAAGGCACTCCTGCATGGCCTTTGTCCATACTATGTACAGTAAATGGAATAAATGCATCATTAATACAGGTCTGTTGTTATTAAAGGCCTCCTGTCCATAGTTTAAAGTTTATTCAGAAGAGTCTCATGTTAGAAGCTGACACCAGTGTTCAGACATTATTCTTACTGTTGGTTAAATGGTTTAAGTTGGCGATGAACAGCGGCGGTGTTTCATGAGAGACCTGGTGAAGGGATTCTGTTGTTATGAAAATGGAGATCATTTCTGTGCGAGACGTTGATCACAAGACGGTGTGCTGACAAGACGCCTGCAGCGATCTACTTTGTTTCTCACAGAATTCCAATGTCAAAGAAGAAATCTGCTTATTAGATGGCTGACACCTGAAATCCCAGGAAATCGGCGGATAAATTGTGCTATTCATTATGCCCTAATGAACTGTGCAAATGTATGTGGCAGGTCAATATAGGCGGCCTATGGAGAAGACACCGTCAGCCCCTTCGTTCTGCAGAGCACAGGCGGCCGGAGCCTAATGAAGACTGAACTTTAATCATCAGGAGGATATGGCTGCTTCACGAGATGAACCCTCCCACACACACACACACACACACACACACACACACACACTGAGCATGTCTAATAACCCCCCTCCTCCCTCTCCGAGCCACACACACACACACACACACACACACACACATGTTCCCTCACCTCACAAGGTTTTCGTTGTCACCCGGTCCTTTGCAGTTGTACACTCGTCCTCGTGTCGTCGGCTTTGGGTGTTTTTTTCTGCAATGCAGATTGGCGTTGTCTGCGTTCCCGTGGCAGCGGTTCCTATGGAAACACAGCGCATTAGAATCAAGAGTTGTATGTATGGGCAACTGATTGAGGTTGGGATGTTCAAATGAATAATATGTTAGACAGAGGAGTTAGACAACATATGAGGACAGCTTTTCTGGAGAAATAGTGGTAATCTTTTGTTGCAATCAAAGTGATTTTCAGATTTTACAAAGGCCAAAAAGGCCAACCTGGATGGCTGTTAGAATAATTTAGGAGAAAGACTGGAAGCACATCGTGAATTTAAATTGGAATTTAAAAAAAATTAAAGAATATAATAAAACAACGAGTAGTGAGGAGAAGCCAGAGCGGAAGCTTTGTTTTTCTTTTTAATGGGCAGTAATGTTAGATATCAGTAAGATACTGTGACAAGCTGGTCTAACACGCACGGTCCTACATACAGTATCAGTGAGTAAAGATCACAAACCTCAATTTTATCTTCTCTGTCTTCACAGATGGGGATTCTCTTCCTCTTCTGTCCTCTGGTTCTCTGTCAATCACAAAAAGTTCACTGTTATGGGATACTCTAAAACATGTGGACTAAAACATGTGGTCTAAAACATGTGGACTAAAACATGTGGTCTAAAAGATGTGGTCTAAAACATGTGGACTAAAACATGTGGACTAAAACATGTGGACTAAAACATGTGGACTAAAACATGTGGTCTAAAACATGTGGACTAAAACATGTGGACTAAAACATGTGGTCTAAAACATGTGGTCTAAAACATGTGGACTAAAACATGTGGACTAAAACATGTGGACTAAAACATGTGGTCTAAAAGATGTGGTCTAAAACATGTGGACTAAAACATGTGGACTAAAACATGTGGACTAAAACATGTGGACTAAAACATGTGGTCTAAAAGATGTGGTCTAAAACATGTGGACTAAAACATGTGGACTAAAACATGTGGTTTAAAACATGTGGTCTAAAACATGTGGACTAAAACATGTGGACTAAAACATGTGGACTAAAACATGTGGTCTAAAACATGTGGTCTAAAACATGTGGACTAAAACATGTGGACTAAAACATGTGGACTAAAACATGTGGACTAAAACATGTGGTCTAAAACATGTGGACTAAAACATGTGGACTAAAACATGTGGTCTAAAACATGTGGTCTAAAACATGTGGTCTAAAACATGTGGACTAAAACATGTGGTCTAAAAGATGTGGACTAAAACATGTGGTCTAAAAGATGTGGACTAAAACATGTGGACTAAAACATGTGGACTAAAACATGTGGACTAAAACATGTGGACTAAAACATGTGGTCTAAAAGATGTGGTCTAAAACATGTGGACTAAAACATGTGGTCTAAAACATGTGGTCTAAAAGATGTGGACTAAAACGTGGACTAAAACGTGGACTAAAACATGTGGACTAAAACATGTGGACTAAAACATGTGGTCTAAAACATGTGGTCTAAAACATGTGGTCTAAAAGATGTGGTCTAAAAGATGTGGACTAAAAGATGTGGACTAAAACGTGGACTAAAACATGTGGACTAAAACATGTGGACTAAAACATGTGGTCTAAAACATGTGGTCTAAAACATGTGGTCTAAAACATGTGGTCTAAAAGATGTACAACAGCTGTTATGCCCTGAGGCAACAGGTCCAGGTGCTCCAAAGTGGACCAGCAGAGTCCTCCACATATAAGGGAGACAGAACCGATTTGTAACCGCCTGCTTAAGGCAGTGAGCGTCCAACCCATCCCGTTAGGATTTGAGGTAAGACTGCTGAAGGAGCAGGGTCCGTACTACTCATCTTTTTCTTTTTTTTCAAACTCACAGAACTACTTCCTTAACTCCTCCACAACTAGTCACATCATTGCACTAAACATGCCAGCACACCAATGCAGGATGGAAGATGGCCGCCTACGATCACTGGTTCACAGGGCTCAAGCTGTTTTTATCAAACATCCCTTTTTGGTGCTAGCAAACGAGCGCAGAGCTGCTGGAGAGTTTAAAGAGGGGAAGAAAAATCGACAACATATTTAAACAGATTGTGAAAACAATTCCATCTGTCGCCTTTGGCTCGCCACCGCTCCCCAGATGGAGCACTTATCAGAAAGAATGCTAACTGCAAGCGTGCTGCCAAGTGGCTCCTGCACACCTTAACTATTCCTCCACCCCTAAACAAAAAGGGGGGGCCTGGCGTTATTTAGTTATTTCTGCAATAAAGCGCCGTCCCTTGAAGTAATCTATAAGGCAGAGCAGCGCTGGGTGCAGATCAGTCGCTGGTTCAGCTGAAAACGCTCACACGCACAGCGCAGCTAATCTCAGGCTCTGCTCAGGTGAGGAAATTAAAACCGCAGGCAGTTTATAAGTCGCCGGCAAAAATCTATCTTTTAATTAAGTACATCAGTGCATCTTTAACAAGCATGAATCATTTCACACAGGATTAGAGGAATTAACAGAGCGTAGGAAGTCTTACTAACTACATATATTAACTTCATTCTCATAATTTCAAACTGATTAATGACATATGTTCGTATGGGAGTTTTAATGGCAGTGCTGTGGTCGCAGCAGGCAGCAGTAAATCATGACTCATTAGGAGGAGCATTTTACAACCACCTTCAGCTGCTTCACCTCCCGAACCCTGAGCTCCTCCTCGACGCCTTCCTCTTTTTGATTTCAGGTTCAAAAATGGCATCACCATGTTCACAGATTGTTTGACATGAAGCTACTTATTAGAGTATTTATTAGTTATTGATTTCAATAATTACAACGACATTGTATACAATTTGCAAAATTAAGTTTGTTTTTTAAAAAAATACATCTTCTTTTATTCCTTCTAGTTAGATATTTTATGAATCAGTTACACCGTTACACAACACCAAAGTATTTCTCCACCTTATGCCTCTGTTACTCAACTGATGGCTGATAAGGGAGGTACCAAATTTGCGCACTACGCCGCCGCTTGCTGCCACTGTAGTCGATCATGGTGTGGTGGTTTCTGTATTTAAAAGGCAGTATGAGCCTAACTGTAATGTCTTCGCTCCGTGCTGCACATAGTAAAAAGGCTTTTGACTCATAACACCAAGTTAGACTTCTTCAGAGAAATAGCAATTCTCATATTTTTGAAATCAATTTCTCTCACACCTCCAAGCTAGCGGCCCGGGTTGGAATCAGACCTGTGGGTCGTCTCCTGCATGTGATTCCAGTCTCTCCCTCTCCCTGATTTCTGACTCTATCCACTGTCCTGTCTCTGACATAAATCCTAAAAATAAACTTTTAAATAAAAGTTTAAAAACAAGTTCCATAAAACAGTGGTTTGCTTCTTTTTCACACCACGTGTTGAAGAACAAACGTGTGTTAATGATTTGCTCCTCGCATGAAGTCTGGTTAGATGAGTGTTTGAGAAGTTCTCCACATTAAACTCGGCCGTGTAAAATCACGGAGCATTAATTTTTACAGCGGTGACGTTACATACATACTACATAAAATTCAGCTCACAGGTTGACTGGAAACGATTTTCTCCAGCGGGCACTACAGACCATGAATAACAGCCACGAGACTCTCAACTTCATCAAGGTGGCACCGGGCCATGACAGCCCTTTTGGCCAAATGTAAATGTGTGTATGTCGCGCACACACACGCTAACTCTCCAACACACATACACACACACACAGTGCAGCCTCAGAGGCCAGCAGGAGGTCGATTAGCCAGTTCTGATGAATTAAAACATGGCTTTAGAGAAATGCCAGTGCCTGGGTGCCCTGGTAAAAGCATTAAAAATGCAAAGCAGGGCCCTTTTAGCGTCTGCCATTGCACGCCTTGCATTTGAAGATAAATGCTGCAGTGAAGTGCCTCGCCCGAGTGGCTGCGAGAAAAATCAGAAAGCTGCTTAATCCCCGAGAGCTCCAGCAGGGTCCTCGGCACATGTCTGGGCCCTAGGTTTCCAAACCTGAACAGAAAAACACATTAACCCAGACTGCCACTGTGCTCCAACACTCCACTATTTCCCCTCTAAGACAGATGGAGTGCAGAGAGTGAGAGAAGTGGCCCAGACGCCACTCCTCCTTTTCTTTGTTCATTCCTCTATTTGTAACACAGGCTGCAGTCAGAAGTGGATCCACTGGAATTGACTCTGCTGAGAGCATCCACAGCCAAGAGAGGAAAGTTCCCTCAAGTCCCAGGTGAGTGGCACTTGGTCACATATTGACAGTGGAAAAAAGAAAAATGGGAAGGAAAAGACAAGCCCAGCCCCCTCCTCCTCCTCCTCCCCCCAATCCTCAGCACAGAGCTGTCAGATATCAATCTGGAGTGTTTCTTGAGGGAGCGGGGAGGCGGCTCTGTATCTCAGGATCAGAGCATGGTCGGAGCAGATAAGTAGGATCCAGTGAGGGGTTGTGTTCCTCCTCACAGCTGACACCAAATGTTTCTCTACAGGCTGACACAGTCCACACACCGTCGCTCTGTTGTGCTCAGGAACAAAGTTCTGGGAATTTATGGCGATGGTGATGAAAAATGGTCAGAATGGCTTTTGAAAAACACGAGTTCTTGGAAAAGGATACATACAGTATTCACATCTATAGCATATTGATTATCTTATATCTTAAATTGATTGTGTTATTATTACACCTGTTTTTTGTGTGTGAAATTCAAAATTAAATGATTCACACAATGTAAGATTACATAAAGGATTTAGAAAATACTATTATTCTAAGACGTGTTAAATGGTGAAGCTTTCTGCTTTTAAAAATAAAAAACTAAGTGATTAAGAAAAATAGTTCTTAACTTGTCTCTCCTGCTTGGTCTACCGTTCAGGCAGTGAAGTGCTTTGAAGAAGATTTGAGGCTTCAAACTGACAATGAAACGCTGACTCATCTTTTGAGTGATGTTCTCATTTTACTTATAATTTGGTTTAAGACTGTAAATTGACGGGTGATGAAACTGCCAGAATTCTCCATCAAAAAGTGATTTGGTGGTTAGAAAAGGTGGGAAATAAAGCAGTGGTAACACTCGTCCAACATTCTCTTAATATCTGACCACCACCATTTTCACCCAACATCTGTTTCTGTTGTTATGTGTTCATACAAAAGCTTAGTTTTGAGACAGACATGGAAATCATGCTGTATTGAAGAAGAGTTGAAACTAGAGATTCAGTTCATAAACTCACGAGGAAAATGTTCACTGAGAGAATAAATGACTGAGAATGCAAACCAGTTTTAACAGAAGTATGTACAATCTGAATTATTTTTAAAGGTCACATGTTCTCCTCTTCACCAGTTTAAAAAATCCTCAGAGCTCCACAAAACATGTCTGTGAAGTTTCCTATTCTAAATCCACTCTGATCCTGTATTTGATCATGTCTATAAACCCCTCTATTTCAGCCCTGCTCAGAACAGGCTGTTTCTGTGTCTGTACCTTTAAATGTAAATGAGCTGTGTCTGACCACGCCCCCTCTCTGGAAGGGGATGTGGCTCGGGCTTTTTCGCTACATGTCCTATTGTTTACGGTGAGAAGGCAGACTCAGAGAGCAGAACAAACACCTAGCTGTGTGAGTGTCACCCACCTGGGGGAGGGGCTACTGCCCTTTGTGATGTCATGAAGGGGAAATCTCTAAACGGCCTATTTGAGCACACATTGTCTGAAAAGTGGAGCAGGCAGAAGATGGAGAGGATGGACTTCTCTCATCATTGCTCAGTTATGAGACAGACTAGAGACACATATTAGTGTTAGAGAAACATAGTGAAGAGGATTTTGCAGAACATGTGACCTTATAGGTCACAGAAATAGAAATAGTGCAAGACACTTCAGGATCAGAGTCCCTTTGGAGAGGATTTGTCCACTTCTTTTAGAAACACTTCTGTTCTTCCTCAGCCTTCTTCAACAAAACTCTTTTTCGGAGGAAACATTGAACTATTTGTGCTCGGGGGAACAAACCATCACCTTGTGTGACTTTCTGAGAGCTTAAAGAGAGCATCAGACTAATGAGAACTCAAGTTAATTATTTGTAATCAATACAGATCAATCAATTAGCTGACACTGACATCAATTACTCTCTAATGAGAGTGAAGGACGAGTAGAGCGTTCGCACTTTTCATTATTTTCAGCAGTAAAAAAAAAAAAATATTTCTGCTGGTTATAAAATGAGATTTTCAGTGTGTTGATACACACCGTGCCCCTCACTTGATGTTTCTTGGGCTCTGGCGACATCTCCTGTGGGATGAATTTGATTGGTCCCTTGATCTGCCTCCTGGACCTTTTGGTGCCGTCAGGTAGCGTCTCCATGGCGATATCGGCCTCATCGCTGCTGGCCTGGTCACACTCGGAGCATTGCCTGAAGAGAGGGAAGAGAGCTCGTCTCAATGAATCGCTCGACAAACAAGTTATTCTTGACCTCCCTGACGATGGATATCCCTCCTCATTTCAGCCCGGTTGCTATCGGGGCGTCACTTTTAATCAAGCGACAGCAACTGTATAAAACATGGATGTGGTCTCAGTGACGTCCCCCACTTGTTACTAAAGGGTAATTTAGAAGCCTATCAACGGTGGTCGCCAGGAGGAGCTGAGGCAAGCCGTAAGCCTCCTGACAAACAGCCAGAATGCACCCGCCTTCTGGTCAGTCAGATCAGCCACGCCCCTAATTTTGATTAACACTTACTCTTCATAAAATCTGCGAAGTATGTGCAGATAAAGGAATGAGCCATACAGACTAAATTGTATATTTGAACTACGCTGTACAAATGTTTATTTCCACTGTAAAACTGGACATTTTCGACTTCTGGGGTTTTTGCGGTCAGCCTCAAGTGGACACTCAAGGAACTGCAGGTTGTTGCATTTCTGCATTGGGTTCATTTTTCCCAGTGGTTGCTACTTGGATTAAATGATGTAAATCCCTAGATCTTTGACCATTAAACTTCTTGAAACATTGTTGCTTGTGCAGTGGCCTAAAAATTCTTGACCCAAACCTTATGAGAGCATGTGGACAAACCAATAAGATAATAATGAAATGTACTATAAAAAGTGAAAGTCAGTCCATAAAACAAATTAAACATTTTTCTACCTCAGCCTAAGACATCTCTGTGTCTTTTTGTGTTTGCAGAGCTCTGATGTGAGTTATGACTTTGCAACAACACTCTTTATTTATACAGATAGTTTCTCATTTTGACTCGATCAGACAGAGCAGCTTTAAGCTAAAACAAACAAATGTTAAATGACTTCCATCATGAAACACAAACATGTCCGGCTTGGTAACAGCAGCCATGTTTCTTGAGTTCTTTCAAATAAAACAGAAAGACACACACAACAAAAAAAAAAAAAACCTCCTCTGATGTTCCCATCATCGAACTGTGGAAGAAGTACGGTTCACCATGTGACAGGGTTTGTTAAGACTATCATATGTGATAAACAGAGGCACTGAATCTCCTCTCCAGATATATCCAAAGTGCCATAGTACAGAGAAGCAGCTATGACATTTCCCCCGTCCCTACATCCGTCATCTGATAATTCTGCTGCCACCGACCGGCCTCAAATGTCACGGCCGATATGAATAAACAAACTCTGAGCGAGGAAAGACTGAATATGAATCTCCATCAAACATAAAAGAGATCTTTTTACGAGTTCAGTATAAACTATGATCGTCAAAGTTCTTAAAGTCTCCAACTATTTGATCTTTTTTATGCGTGTTTTCATCCAATCACCTCGCTCTGACCTTAACCTCGGATTGTTTGGAGCTTGGTGTCTATTCTAGTTAAAAGTGACATATTTTTACTGCACCTACAAGTCTTTGTTATTGATGTATCTGTAAGCATATTAAAGAATATGCCTGCATAAAGCGGCCCGGCCTTTATCAGCTGTATGTATTCCGCTCGTACTCTCTGTGCTGTCATGTTGAATCATGTTCGGCAGCATGAGGGCTTGTACAGCCGAGTATCTCACTGATATGCGTTTGTGCTTTCTGAGGAATCTTGAACTGTGTAACCTTCACTAATGGCTCTCCAGCAGTCTGGGTTTTTCAAGCTTACAGTGAATCTGTCGCCTGTGTGAGTCCTAACAACACACTTCTGTTCATGTAACTTGTCAGCCTCTGACGTTCATTTCCTCCACATGGTTTCTAAGGAGAACTTTGAAGGAGAACTTTGGTTTTTTCTAATACCTGAGCCCATTTTTTTTTTTTGTATTATTGGATTGTTGGCAGCAGAAAAAAAACTTATACCTGATACATGATCTGTGTGGTAAAGAAGGAGTATCTAAAAAAAGTTCTTGTTTTTCTAAGGCCCCGTGTCCACCTGGCTTTGTTTCCGGGCAGAAAAGCGCTGGCTGTGCGCTCGGGAGTGTTTGCATGAAGCGTTTGTCCAATGAGAAGAAAAGCGCTGCACGTCCGTCCTGTCTCTATGACAACAGTATGACCACTGCCACTGTATGACTGACACTGCTCTTTTACTTATCTACTGTATGTTTTTTTTATATTTTTGATCTTATCCGATCAGACACGGAGTGAGGGGGATGTGATTATAAGACACAATCCGTAGGAGGCAAAACTACATGGAATTTCATACATTTGGAGCGGCCGTGACTTCAACAGCGCCTTTCTGAAAAGTTAAGAGATTTTCAACCTGAGCGCCCCGAAGCGGCCGCACAAAAAAGGCGAAGAGCTCGGGGGGGGGAAAAAAAGACGCTGTGATCAAATTTATGTGACTCTCCCTGTAACTAAATTAACCTACAGGTTTTAAAATGTAAGAACTGCCCTCTCATGTTCAAAACATTTCAAGTTTCAGAGCATTGTCTTTCCCACTTCCCCTCCTCCCCTCATGTCTCTGTGTCTCTCACCAGTAGCTGTTCTTGGTCTTCTTGGGCATGCGTGCCAGCGGAGGCTCCAGGCAGCCCAGGTGGTAGTAGAGCTTACAGGTGTCACACAGCACCAGAAGATGTTGGTCCTGGTTTTTCTTACAGATGCCACAGCTGCAAGAAAACATGGAATTATGGGCTTGTGTTGGGTGTTTTTTCAGTAAACGTTTGAACTCAGTGGCCATACATCATTCATGGAACAAAAAGTGCAATGCCTCATAACCTTCCTGAAAGCAGAACTCTGTTTCTGTCTCCCCATAAGAACACGGCTGATGTAAACTCACACACTTAAACCCAATTTGTATTGACGAGGAAAATGGAGCTCTTCAGAAGGCCCTTCAACTCTTCCCCCTGGCATGTGATGATATTTAAAATGACTGCACGTTCACGTCGTCATTTAACCTCCGTCTCTCAGGACCCTGCATGGTTTTTACCTGTAGAGGATTGCTGGCAGGCTGGAGGACTTCCCCGGGCTTCCTCCCTCCTTCTTGTTGGGCTTCCTCTCTTTGGGAGCTTTCAGAACAGCTGGAGTGTTCAGTTTCTGCCAAAGAAAGAGGGACACAAAGTTTTTTTTATGTTTAAGCTTTCGATTTGCAACATTACTCCCATGAAACAGCGACACACTGTGAAAGACTGTTCACACTGTTTCCTCTGCGGGAAGAAGTTCTTCTCATAAATATGAAGGAGGTCGATTTGAAAAGATGATCACAAGGTAGATAGATAGTCTTCATCTTTAGAAGTACTTAATTGTCGGGCCGATAATTACTCATCAAAAAGTATTGCTTTATCAGCGAGGTTTGGCGAGGGTCTATGATCCCTTAACTTTATACTTTATGTTCTGCAGCCGAGTTTCAGATTGTGTCCACACTCAGAACAGCTGAGAGAAAACCTAAGATGTAGGCCGGTATGGCTCCATTAGAGTTGATGTTACAGGTGATACTTTAGTGAACACCTGCGTATTGTTGGCTGTGAGTTTAGACAGCTAGCTTAATCAGAGCTGTAAAAGTTCACTCACAGCAGAGCTGCGAGGAGATGCGAGAGGGGACCTGTTGTGTGTGTCAGGTGAAAAGCAGCAGCAGCAGCAGAAGACAGCCGGTCTATTCTCGCCTCCATCTCAGGTGCAGCGTCTCTGCCACACGGGTTAATTAGAAAACTTATCTCGTAGGGACCGAGTCTGTCACTAAACAGACAAGGTTTTCCCGCAGGAAGTTCTAATCTGGGCGTGCTCGCGCTGCCTGCAGCGTGGCGAGGGAGCGTCCCCGCAGGGACGCCTGATAGATAGAAGGGACGGGGTGACCAGAGCACAAAGGGGGCTGCAGGAGGCTATCTCATCAACCTGGACCGCAGCCCACCTGCATCCCACCACCAGGAAGAGGCTCTACTGCTGATGTGGAGCAGTTTCAACATTGTTAACATGCTTTATCAGATAGATGAAGAAGTTTAGAGAGGGGAAACAGTTAGTAAACACACAGGCTGTCTGGCTCCCGTCCTCAGGGGAAACTCATCAAAACGCTACAGAGCAGGAGCACAAAATGCCAACTCCCTCTGCTGAGAGCATTTCCATCATGCTCAATACAGTAAAAACAACGAAGGTGTGGCTTAAATTGTCATTTAAAAAGCGATCTGCAGAGGAAAGTGTGCTCCTGCATAACTATGACCAGCAAGTTCAAGCTGTGAGCTTCAGCTGTAAGACTAATCCACTCATGCTGGCATCTTTGGGCCCTAAAGCCGCCTCTATCTAAAGCTCTCTGATCTAATATCAGATTGTGGGATGCTAAAAATCTCTCCACTACCTCCTGAGGATACATGGAGCTGGCAGCCACTCTCAGCAAAGTCTGTGCACGACCAATCAGAGCTGTTGTGCTCCAGCTTGTTTTCCTTCGATGATTCTGTCACCGTCTCAGTACCAGTGGGTTTTCTGTTTTTAAATCCTTCTTCGTCTTGACCAATACTTTCAGATAACATGTGTGGATTATTGATTTTCTAGGTCACACTGTATGTTTGGGTTCTGAGAAATTTGGTTAAGCTTTTTTTTTCCCACTTTTTAAATATAATTGATATACCAAATGATCAAATCCTCATTAAGCCCGACCGATTAATCAGGATACCACTCGACGCCTCAGTTTAGCAAAGACATGTAGTTAGCTCAGTACTGACACTGTGCATAAGAGGATTTCTCAAAAAGTCTGCATGATAAGAAAGAAATATGCAATGTGCCATTATGTTGTTCATTACTGCAAAGATTATTTAAAGTATGAAAAATGAAAATGAAAAAATGCATGTTAGCGATAACTAGTCTCTATGGCTACATACTATTCTTCAAAAAGCCTCCTTTTTATTCAGCACCAAATTGGCACCTATGAATCTGTAAGTGGCAGGAAGCTGGCTTGAGCTTCATCTGTCAGGTAGAAAGGACACATACTGAGTGAGAAAGCATTGCTTTTTACATTTAGTGAGAACTATTAAATCACATCTGGCACAGTATTTTCTTTTGTCATGTGTTTTACTGCAAATGGTGAACTAGCAACGACAATGAAATTGTGAATTATTCTGCAGCTCTAGTTCTCGATCTGTTCAGTATGTAAACAAATCCCCTGTAAGAGCTTCATTCAGAGCAACCTTCAAAGCTCCTTTAGTTCTACACTGCATCAGCTGTTTAGACCACCTTATATCTCCTCGCTGGTCTTTTTTTTCCCTCCCTGTAGCTCATCACTTAACTGGCCTGAGTAACATGAATCCCTCTTATTATATCGACCATCTCTTAGCTACCTGGGCATTATAGCGTTTCATAGAGGCTGCTGGAAAGTGTCTGGTGTGTTTTCTTGTCAAGTTGCCAGCCGAGCTAAACTTCCAGGACCATGAGGAACAAAAGCCAGACTGTGTACTGGAAGAGGGATGAGGGTCCCGGCTGGGGACATCAATAATTTCTGCAAATGCAGGCAGGCAGGATGACAAATAGGAGATGAAAACGTGGCAGATAGATGACACAAAAGCATGCGGTGCTGTGACTGATGTTGCTACTTAAAGCGTGCGTGTTCATAATTAGGTGATTTATGGCGGTCATTGCAGATTCACTGCCAGTTTTCCTTCTAGTCCCTGTCCATTCTGCCGCCTCGCCACCACATTAATATCGTTCGACCATTTGTCTACGAGGCTCGTGCTCTTCAACGAGCACACTTTTAAAAGACTTTTTATGGATTACGATGGTACTTTTATACATAAATCCTGAAAAGAAGTGACTGCATGGTCCAGGCAGCACAATGGATATCTTATCTGTTTGCCTGAAAAGTTAAAGTGAAGGGTCAGAGTTGGCTTCTTCCTCTTATCTTGGATGTCCATAAAGGAGGGACTTAAAAATACTGACTGAGAGGAAACGGACATCGGGTGTTTGGGTGCATTTTCATCAGACAAGTGTATGTCTGATGTTTGGTTTTCACTCCTTGAGTAAAAAAAAAAAGGAAACTGTTGACCTTGGAAACAACAGCTTTATAAAGAAAAATAATACCTGACCCATGACCATCATCAATGGATCTGTTGATACCAAACATTAGAGGACTAACTTAACTGAAGTCTGACACCCCCTCACATCTAAAGACACTTTAATCAAGAACTACAAGGTTTTATAAGACTGTATTTGCAGGGCCACTTTTAAAATATGAAAGCTGGATTCCTGTTGAGATTATTTGGTAAATGGACTTGAGCTTGTATAGAGCTTCTGACTACTCAAAGTGCCACCTACAGTACTTCCCATCATGCATACAGGTGGAAATATTAAGAAACAGGATAAAACAAAAGACAAAGAAGAGAAGGATATCAGATAAGATCACGTAATCTAATCTTGTTTTTTTGTTTAATAATGATGTTTTTTTGTATTTTTTGGGAACAAAACCCTTTTTATTTATTATTTATCCTGTCTATTTATCTGCTATGTCGCTGTAGCAATACAGCAAAATATTAAGATTACAAACATCATTTTGTTTCTGTAATCCGGTCTGAATCCAGCCCTCTGCTAGGATCAGGATCATTCTGACTCTTTTGGATCAAAACTATCTTAGAACAGTTGTGAGAAACGTTCAGTTTGTGTGAATGTTGGCGACCTCAGTGTACAAAGTAACAGTAAGTAGAATTAAGTACAATTCAGAGCACTAAGAATATGGATTTGGTAAATCTTTATCAATTTGGATCTGGATCTGGTTGATCCAATCCTGTTTTCTTAGAAAGACCAGGACTAAAGTGAGTTGGATCACTTGATTCTAGAGAGTAAAAAAAGTGCATCTCCACATCTGATTATTGTGTTAAACAAACCAGGTCATTAACCTTTAAGAAATTATAATTAAAAAGCAGGTAAAGTGTCAAGAGAGACGATGGACGGATGCTGCCGCTCTATCGTGAGCACCTTTGAGGTTTTATTTTGTTCCAGCAAACAAACGGAAAGATTTCAGTCTATTTCTGTAGACTGCACTTCACATTCATTAAATAAACCATCAGCTGTAGAGAAAACCCTTTAGCAATTGGTTGCCATGGAAACGAGATGGGGATGCAGCTTTACTTCTCGGCTGTCAGGTCCGACTTCACAGCCAACGACGGCTCCATCGGTTAGAGTAAAAGGAAAGGTTTTTTTTTATTTTTTTATAAACAGCAGGGTCAGTACAGAGCTGCTGTGGGCCATTTGGACTGCTGCACACACATCTACCAAAACTCTCAAACACAAATCAGTGCTACACTCTAAACAGAAATCATTCGACAACAACGAGGACAGGAGAAGGTGGAGATTGTACCTGACCCAGGATGCCCCCCAGCAGAGTCCACATGGCCTGGCCTTCACTTCGCAGCTCCCCGTTCACATTCAGCAGCTCCTCCAGAGTCTCACAGAGCTGCAAGGAGGAGAGAGGAGACAACATGAGGACACCACAGTCTCTGTTATAACACACCAACAAACACACTCAAGAGTATTTAAATAACACGCATACCATGGTCTGGATGAATACTCGATTCTGACTGTTTTGTTGTGTTCACACTAGAGTTGTAGTACTCAAAATCAGTCTTGGTCTTGAGACCACTTCTTGAAGGTCTCGGTCTTGGATTCTAAAGCATTTTTACTTGGTCTTGTCTCGGTCTTAAACTGGGTGGACTACAGATTTTAAATCAAGACGGGTCAAGACCACCACTGACAGGCTGTTTTTCCATGCCATTACTGTGATTAGAAGGAAAACAGTCCCTTCTAAAAGAATAACTTCAATTTATTCATGATTATATTTTTATCCCCCGATTACGGCCGCAACCTTCCCGATTTTCTGTGCTATTTATGGAGCAGTGCTGAGAGAGTGACAACATGGCTGCTGATTAATCATGAGCACCTCTGCATCACTAATGCCACATGTTAACCTCAGAGTGTCTTCCCAACGTTAACACTGCAAGAACTGGGCCGCATGCCACAAACGTGTAAACCATATACAGGGCTTTACACTTATATATTCGTCAAAGAGAGGCTTTCAATGACATCACTCCACTGCCGGTTTCTTCAAGGCCAAAGCCATGTAAGAGCGGCTCAGAGCGTGCAATTAGCAACACACACTCCATTAATAACGCTTAACACGCACGGCAGAAGACTGAACGCAACATTAACTCTTGTGACTTTTAGTCTGCCGTCGCCGTGTTGACAGATGGAGCAGCAGCCTCTCTACAGAGGTCACACAGAGGAAGGCACACACAGGACTCAGTTCTTATCTCAGAGCCTACTGTGGACATATCCGACTCTGTGACACAGTTTAAAATCGTCTTTGAAAAAACTCAGTCAAACTAATTACTAGCTGCTGTGTCTGTTGTTGCGTCCTCTGTTTCCTTGCGGGCCTCTGTCTCGACAAACAGACATGCCAGCTGTCAGCAGTGAGATTAGAATCTTAATTTTTGATAAAAGCTCTGCTGCTTAAGTCGGAGTGATTTTTTTTTCTTTCTTTACCAAATAACAACACTTTGTTGTCTTCTGTCTGCTGATAAGCTCTACACAGTCACAAATTGCAGTTAAAATGAAGAAAAAGATTAAGTAAGTTATTTCCAGTAATTTCACGTCTATGCTTGAATTTAAATAAAATAATTATGAGAGGCCGGTAGCCTAGTCGTTAGAGCGCGCAGCCCATGTGTGGCGGCTATAGTTCTCCAAGCGGGCGGCCCGGGTTCAAATCCGACCTGTGGCTCCTTTCCTGCATTTCATTTCATTCCCTACTCTCTCTCTCTCTCTCTCTCTCTCTCTCTCTGATTTCCGACTCTATCCACTGTCGAGCTCAAATCGGCCTGAATCAAACTTGTTTTAATTATTTTTTTAAACTCTCTAGGAAAAACAAAACTTTAGGTTCATGTTTGAGCTACTCCTGGTTGAGTCTGTGGAGCTTCCATTTCCATAAGTGTCCACTGCTTTTTGGGCCTTTATTTCAGAGACAGCTCTGAAATAAAGGCCCAAAAAGCCAAAAAATAAACCTGTTTAAACGTGTACACAGCAAAACAAAGTACATTCATATCATACACTGTAAATATTATTGGACGAAGCCTGAGTGACGTCACCCATCTGTTCCTGCAGGGGGCTCTGGAGGCTCATCAGCAGCAGCCGCCATGCTGGAAATCCTGTCTCAGCCTAACTTTCAGTCAACCTAACGACAGACTGAGAGCTGGAGCTGAGGCGGGTTTTAAGCCTCTAGACGAACCGTTACACCACGCCCACCTGTCAATCAGGTCAGCTATTCACCTACCTATGGATAACACATGGAGCCGTTTAAAAAAAATTACCCCCCCGTACAGTGTGTGCCCATGATGACAACAACTAATCAGACCTATTTATTTTTTTGTACCAGGCTGTAAACATGTTTATTTCTGCTGTAAAAACGGCTTTTTGCCTGTCATGTGTACGTGACTTCCGGGGTTCCTGCAGCCAGCTTCTAGACGACACTCGATGAACTGCAGGATTTTGCACTTCAGCATCGGCTTCATTTTTCAAAACCGGAGGTTGCCGCATGATTCGAACACCATGTGGAACATGAACCTAAAAACAAGCTGAGCAACAACACAACCTGGCAGCAGCTTCTCTCACAGACAAAGCGGGGGATTGCTATTTTTATTGATATCATTTTCGAGACTCTGTCAATACTTTTCTATTAATTAGTGGAAAAACTTGACGAGCAGGAAGTGAAACGGGTCATAATTCCATCTGTAATATCTATTTTACATTGCCGGGGACAAGATCGATAAGGAGCAGTCTTTTCTGAAAATCAGAAAACGCCTACCTGCTCCAGATGAAGTCAAGGTGTTCATTCATTCTTCATTTGTTTTTCCTCTTGTTTGTTTAAATATTTGCATCAGAATTTATGCCAAACAATCGTACCAATTAAAAAGTTGGCACAGATTTGTCCGAGCAGTCCACCTGAACCAGAGATGACTCATCGCTCTGCACGTTTTGGATCGAAGGCGCTCACCTTGTTGTACTCCACGTGCAGTTTTTCTTGCTCGCTCTCCAGCTTGTCTTTCAGGCTCTTCTGCTCGGAGATGTTGTCCTGGATCTGGATCATTCGCATGTTCCGCTCTGAATATCAATGGGACAAAAATCAATAGCACGATCACAATCTATACACGGGAAAAAACGCACATGAGAGGGTGTACTGATGGCAGATAGGCGCTCGGCTGCAGGCTGATGAAGAGTGCTCTCAAGGTTACCGACATGGCGTCTCCAGCGTCTGGCGTCACGGGCATTTGTTTGAGGAGAGAATTCCTTTAGACAACACTCACCTTACTTAACCCTCCTGTGAAACAGTTAGAGAGATACACCATGGATATAAATACTAAATGCCCTTTAGCTTTGTTGACTTTATCTGTCACTCCTGAAAAAAAAAAAAAAAAAAAACAGAGACAGGAAGCTGATATTGATGCTTTAATTGTTTATCTTTAAATGTAAGGGAATGGGGTAAGTAAAGAGAGATACCCGGATAAGATTCTGGTTTGAAGCTCTGTACTTTTTCCTCTGGAGACTAAAGAAGGAATGAAGTGCGTCTGGTGTCTCTGGAACTCTACTCATGTAGCGTCACGCAGAAGTAAGTTTAGAGGAGGTGGTGAGCTTTGAGTGAATACTTTATCTGAGAGAATAAATAACACAAGTTTCCTCACCCAGGTAATAGTTGACAAAGTCTGCAGTGAGGGCGGGCTGTTTGTGTTTCCTGCGTCCGTCCAGGCTGGCGTTAGCGTCAGACGTGTCAACGGGGAAAATGTCGGTGCTGATGCCCATGAGCTCCGCCTTCCTCATCAGCTTCCTGATGGCGGAGGCGCTGGATGTCAGGGGTCGCGGCAGCTTCTCGCGAGGCACCCAGGCCTGAGGCCGAGTGTTTCTGGACAGCTCTGCTTTGGCTCTGTACTGCTGCAGGCGCGTGGTGATCCGGGCCTGCAGTGTAACAAAAACACACACACACACAAACACACACACACACACGATGTGAACATAACATACTCCCACATTATGATGGTAATTTACCATCAGTGGTTACACACTATGATTTCTCTCCACAAACAGGCAACAAGGAATCATATGTTTGTTGATACATCGAAACAGTCTATTACGTGTTTCCAATTCAGGAGGTTATTCTGGCATTTATTTTATATGAGCACTATTTCGACAATCTTTGGGGTCTAAATGACAAATAGATACAAAAACATTCAGCCTGCAGCAAAACAGGCTGTAATGGCTGCAACACTATCCTTGAAGAAAGTGCCTACAGTATGATCAAAGTACGTCCATTTACAGTTTTTACTCAGGCTCAGATTGTTATTCCAAGTGTCTGACAAAATGACAGAAAGAATCTCTTCAGAGAGAGATGATTTTGGTAGAAAGGATTTTTTTGATGGCAACCAGAAACTGCTGTTTCAGCGCTCTCCTTTAAGCCACCAGACTCCAGAACACAACACATAGTCTTCTGCCACTGCCTCCATTGGTCAATTTGTTTGTGTAAGTTTGTAAAAATAGTTTTTGGTCTGAAGTTGCCGTCTAAATTGAAGTCACAGTCAAACAAAGCAGTAAAAATCTGAATAGCTGCAGCAGAGGAAGCAGTGAACATGCCTTTTAGTGCAATGTAAAACAACCATTTTTTTTACAATGAGGTCTGGTGGCTCAAAAGAGAGATGTGAGAGATATTTATGGTTTGAAAAAGCACTTTTTGATCAACAGAGAGTATATCTCTGACGGGGTTCTTCTCATAGCGTTGTCAGACACTTGGAATAACAATCTGAGCCTGTCAGTGAGACAAACAAGAACTTAATCAAAGGGATGTGTTGTCTTCTCACCAGCAGAAGCCCCTTCTAATATCAGGTTAAAAACAAAGTTATCCATGGCTATAAAACCACACATGTAAATGTTGAACACTTGCAGCTAACATGACTTCGAGAACCTGACCTGAGCTTCAGGAGTCAGCTGCTTCTCTCTCTCCTGCAGAGAGACCTTACAATAAGACTGTAAGGCCAGATAATTCTTCCTCTTCCACTTCCTGTCGAAGCGGTCTGCATGCTGCTTGCAGTACGCAAAAAATGGATCCGCAATATCCTGAGGATACAAAAACACAAGCATGGAATTAACAGTAGCAATAATGAGTTAATGCTGCCAACAAGTTTTACAAGCCAGTCTCAAACCCGTCTCCTCCCTGTCTGCAGGAATCAGTGAAGCTCTTCTGCCAGCTGTTGATGCTATCAGCATTTTGGATCTAAATAAAAATAAAAGCTCTTTATTGCAATTTACTGGATTAAGAGGTTTGCAGGGAAAAGCACTTTTCTGGATATTTTTTTTGTGCAGAAATAGGAGATGTTTAGTGTATACAGAAAGGACAATTTATAGTAACCCTTAAAAGTCTGCAATAGAAATGAATTCATCTGCAGTGCATGTGAAGTAATTTCCTCAAGTATCTTCAGAAGCGTCACATGTATCCCTACGATGTGCTAAAAACCTAAAGGGATGTGCAATTGTAGGAAAATGATGCTGTAGCTTTTTATGATTTCTGATCATTATTTTAGATCAATTTAAACCAGAATATAAAAAACCACTCCCATCTCCCATGGCTGAGTTGCCACTGTCACCAGTGTGTTTAAACTGCTTATTACCCAGTACAATATGTAACCTCAACAAACAATGTGTTGACACTAAAGGAGGAGGAGGAGACCTCGACCTCTGCTGCAAAAAGATTGAAGGCTCTAACTCAAAATGTATATTATAGATTAATTATAAAAGGGTCAAAAGAAAGAAATGATCCCTTGCAGCAGACAGACAGAGGTTTGTTTTCATAGAGTTTATATTATATAAGACTAATTTCTGCACTTTCAATTATTCCGTTGGTCCACGACCTCTACGGAAAAAAATATTGCAATATACATATTTTGTTTATCAGGGAAGCTTTGTGTAGCAACATCCATTAATCAACACTTTGAATAACTCGCACACAAAAATCTTTCTCTAAAGGAAAAGAATAATGATTTTTTTTTTAGCCTCACAAAGAAGAAATTAAATGTTAAATTATTTCACTTACATTCAGATCTAAACTCAGATGATGAAACTTTTGATTGGCTGTGACAGACTTGTTCTGCTACAAAGCCTCAAAACTCAGATTAAGTATTTTTTTAAATATATCTTTTTAATTGGGTGCGGATAACCTAGTAGTTATATTGTGCGCCCCATGTACAGAGTCAAAAGAGTTTGAATCCGACCTCGGCCCTTCATTGCATGTCGTACCTCTCTCTCTCCTCCCAACATTTCCGTCTCTCTTCAGCTGTCCTGTCTAATAAAGGATAAAATGGCCCCAAAAAAGAACTTCAAAAACAAAAAATCATGAAAATACCTTAAAACGTCCTCTCAGAGGTGAACACCAAAGCGGGACAGAGGCCAACAGGATTGTAATTCCTGATTTTCTCTTTTATTTTGCCTATAGATGAACTTATGTATTTATTCCTGTATGTTGTGTTTTAAACACTTTTCAGGAATTCATTTATTAACAGTAAGATTTCTTTCTTTCCTCACCTCCTCTGCAGCAGCCTCGGACAGAAGCCCCTCCCTCTGTGCACATGTGACGTGGAAGTACGAGCGACACATTCCTGCATCACAGCTGATGCACACACCGGTCCTGGCAAAGCGGGTGTCCTCACAGAAACTGCACTCCTGAAAAAAAACAACACAAAGGTTTCTCCTCTTCAGCTCAGGTAACGCATGCTTCAGCTTTGATGTACAAAGTCTACTGCTGTCAATGCTCGTTCATCAAACTACACTTAGGACACTATGTTGGCATAAAGCTTCAGGCTAAAGAGGATGACGTGAAGTGACTACAGTTTGAAAGTTTCTAAAGACAGGACCTCGCCAGCTTTTCCCCTGACCACATCTCATTTTAAAACAAACACACCCCAGGGCGCTTACGGGAGCGCAAGTTCATTTCCTCCTTAGACAACGTGAGCGTGTTAAAATGACAACTGCGTCAGGAGGAAAACCCACGCTGTGCACCAAGACGTTTTGCGCCAGGCGTACGATAGAGACTGTGACCCTTAAAATGCAGACATTTCTGTCAGTTCTATTTATTTCATGGATTTCCATCACTTCTGTAAAGAATACTTTTACTGAACCTATCTTTTACTTTTTAAAGAACAGTTTGACTTCTTGTCCTTCAGACAGAGAGAACCTGTGCTCAGTGTGTTTACATTTTCACTACTTATTTTAGACTTCAAACCCTCTTCAACTTCAACTCACTTTGCACCTTGAAAGCAAAACTAAAACTTTTTAAATGGTCTGAAAGAGGTTTGAGTTGATACATTTTTTGGTGCATTCCCTTTACGTCAACATTCTGCCGTTTGTAAATTTGTTTGGGGACTGGTAAAAGTGTTTCACATCTTGTAAATGTGTTTTATATAAAATCTAAATGTGTTTTGTCCTTGGTAAAAGTGTTTTGGTTTTGTAAATTTGTTCAGTGGAGTTGATGGATTTAAAAGTCTGGACCAGGAAATTGATGCATAATAATAGGAGTGCTGGTTGAACATTATAGATAGCTTGCAGTAATACAAACTTTATTGACACAATAAATGTAGCATCATGTATTACTGCATTAGATAAACATTTAGGAAACACATCTAAGAAGTGTGTTCTGTCTGCAGAATGTTAAACGTGACTGCATATCTTAAATAAACATGAATCAACACTCCTATCTGCACCAGTCTGTTTAGGACTTCATACCTTGGCTCCATATTTTGAATAATTCATCTCCGTGAGCGTCACCGGTCGCAGTTTATCGATGTCTCCAAACGCTACACCAGGAACGTAAAGCGCACAAACCACATGCACCCATCTAAAAACACAAAAAAATCAGGTTTTAGTGTTGAAGAGAGACAGAGAAATCAGCAGCACAACAGTAAGAGAATCATCAAGTGATCACAGTTTTTACAAGGTGACATTATCGATGTATTGATTTCTGCTCACTCGTTTTAAGAAACAGCATCACAATGATTACAATCTGTAGCTGTGTGTTAATAATGCATTAAGTGCTGTGTATTACTGCAGACAATGAGCCACTTAAAATTATCAAACCGGCTGCAGTGAGTCACTCAGACGCTTCAAAAGGGGATGGATTCATAGATTTATGTAGGCCCAGACTCCAGCTACAGTCTGCTGTGACACAATTTCAAATGCGGACTTTAGGGAAGGGAATCCGAAGTCCAATATAAAGATATCCATCTCTAGCAAGCAACAGCTTCACAGTTTAATTTGCTGTGTTTTTCATGCTCTAGTGAAGTAGTAAATTCGGGTGCAGCCTGGCTGAGGAGCACTATCAGCGATAACGTGGCTGAAGTCTCCACGCTTCACATAACACACTCTTTTCTCTCACTCCTTTTCTTCCTCTATCTCTTCTCCTCCCTCACTCCTCTGCCACTTCTCTCTCTCTTCCTTAATCCAACTTCCCCCTTCCTACCACTGCTGAATATATGAGCAATTTTCAGATTCTTCATATGTCGCCTTCAGCGTTTTTAGCCAGCTGAGGTCATTAACTAAAGCATCATTTGTTTCTGAACACGTTCCACTCGCTGCCTCTGGTAAATGGCAGCTGACCGGTGGGTCAATGTGCGCCCGTGTCCCACCTCCCGGCGTCTGTCTCTTTGAAGATGCCGTCTTGGTTGGGGCACAGCTCACAGCTGGGAGTCACTCCGTTCTTACAGGCGTCACAGAACCAAGGCTCCGTCGAGTTCTCAGAGGCTGAGCTCATGATGGAGTCGCTCTCGCCGTCCACACCATAGCAGCCTGGAAAACACAGAAAAGGAGTAGTTAAGAAAACACCCTTTACAATTCTGCTGTTCTCCATTTATCTTCATCAGATACGAACTCAATGGAGGGACAGGAAAGAAAACAGAGACATGTATCAAAAAGGTTGAGGGCCTCGACTCAGCCTCCCTTCAGATGGCACTGCTCTCAAACTCCTGAACTACCAGTGCAACCTTTATGTTCAGCCTTTTCAGTAAAGAGAACGAACAGCCATTAGTCAAAGTCAGTACTTCATATAAAAACACAGTGATGTGAAATACACGTTTGCCACTATCATTTTCTCGGTCTCAAAAAGTAAACTTCTGATCTCAAGTTGAGGTCAAGCAGCATCAAAATGTGTCAAATCTTTCATATTGAATAGATCAAATTGGGAAATAGAAAAAGCTGCAGAAGAAGAAGTACCTTGACTGTAAGTTGGAAGGTTCTTCTTTCTCCTGTACCAAAGTTCACACTCAAAGTAGAGTAGAGGTCTTTTCTGTTTTACAAAAGGAGGCAGCAATACAAAATACTAAAGCTGGTCAAACGATGTTGCTTGGGAACCTGTAATCGGCCTATTTGTAAGAGCTCAGAGAAAAGCGAGGTTGAGTGGACTGGTTTTATAAAGCCTGGAGGATGACTGTGCAGAGAAATCTAACCTGTAGCTCTGTGGTTTGTAAAGACTAGCTGATGTACTGCTATGTACCAACCAAGTACCACTTCCCACCACGGCTAACAACCACATTTTGAGGACAGAGCAGCCTCACCTGTGATAATGGGAGGAAGATAGGAAAAAGAATGACATCATTTAAGTGTCTTCCTGTTTTAGTCCAAGAAAACAAGGCAACAATGGCAAATCCAATAGGTTGCTGCCTCTGAACTGTATTTTGGACCTTGTAACTATAAAAGACTCCACTCGATCTCCTTAAAATAAATGACTGAACAGTTTGAGTTAAACTGCTTTTACTCAAAGTTAATGTCACCATTTCAGGCTATTTCAGTCTTGGTATTACATCACTACTGCCCAATGTTATTTTTTAAGTATTCAAATAACTATCAAGTAATTTTCTCACAATTGTGAAGTAGCAAGTTCATGTAATATCCAATGAAAACTTTGTTGCTTTGAATAAAGGAATTGTGTTGAATTGGAGTTCCCTTAAGGTGCCTGTGTCTCACCAGCCGCACACGCAAAGGTTCAGATTCTGGAGGATTCTGCAATACATAAGACCGACTGAACGTTGGTACAACAGCTGAAATCAGCAACACACTCACTTCAGATGACATTATTAGCAGCAATTGGGTTGCCCGGCAACCAAGCGTTGGTGTTGTATGTGGTACGTGGGAAATGTGGTGACAAAGCTGCAGCTGCTGCAGAATCTTTTCTGTCAGAGTCTTGACCCTTTTCTTGTAAAATTTTGTGAGTTTATACAAAGGAAGTTGGTTTGAGTTATAAACATGATCAACAGTTTTTAGAGATACTTTGGACAGTGGATAGAGTCGGACATCAGGGAGAGTGAGAGTGGGGAATGACATGCGGGAAAGGAGCCACAGGCCGGATTCAAACCTGAGGCATACAGCCTCTGTACATGGGTTGTGCACACTAACCACTAGGCCATCTGCGCTCCTGATCCACAGTTTTTTGAACGAAGTGTGTAATTGTTCTTTTTGTCACTAGGTGTAATGTTTTTCCTTCTGTGTGAAAATAGAATATACACAAGTCAAAGACACATTTATACCTTTGAATGCAGGAGTTGGCAATTAATATGATTGAATTCATTACGCAAGTGTTTTGAAATCTCACCGATGTTTTAAGAGCTTCACTCGGCCAAAGAACAAAAACTACACCATTGATCCAGAACCAGAACACACAGAACACACATAGCAATACCAGCAGCGCTTTGATATTTGTCATGTGTGCAATTGCTTGGTTGTACTGTAAATTTAACCATGTAGTTTTATAATCCAGCACTGTGGGGACCATGTAGAAGACACAAAGTAGAGGGAGACCTGGTGTGCTTTGGCCTGAAGCTGTCAATCTGCTGTGACACTGCAGCACTAAAAATTTAACATTTGATAAAAAAAAAAAAAAAAAAAAAAAAAAAACTTAAGCAGGAAGAAGCTAAGCGAAAGGATTTCAATGTTGTCCTTTTAATTTTCTGAGGTTGCCTAAACAATTACTTGGCTGATGTGGTTTCTATGGCAGCTATTATGGCAGACGTGCTCTTCACTACCAATGAGGGCAGCAATCAGTGCTCTGCCTCCGTTGTGGAGATAACGCTCTAACTCCTAATTCACTCCACCAGCCTTCGGGCTTTTTGAGCAAAACGGAAAGACTTGCAAATCAAAAGCTCAATGTTCTGCATGCCCGTCACTGCGAGCCACACTTGGGAGTCGTGCAGCTCATGGAAAACAAACACCGGGGCAGACAGAGTTGTTTATTGCATGTCCTTTTCTGATTGAGAGTACCATTTGCAGCATGTCACGGTGAATCTCTAATTTTGAACTCTGCTCTTTTTAAGTTGGTGGGGAGCATCTTCAGATTTTACAGGCCACTGGTTTCTTCTCGAGATCAACTGAAATGCAGGACACACCAATCAAGCTGTTGATTACTCCTCTGGGGCAATTAAGACACAGCTGGACTTAACCCTGACCTTCAAAACCAAGAACATCTTATTCTAAGTACCCGAGATTTGGGCAAAACTACTTCTTTCATTTTCATCCCCACTATGTGGCAGGGGCAGGAGGCTAAGTCCTGCAAGCTCCAATAAAGCTCCACTCAACTTTTATTTTTAGAGCAAAGGTATTACTGGAATACCTTTGGCAACAGCTGGGCTCTTCATCTTCACTGATTGGGCTTTGAACCGTGAAACTGGGGGTTGTAAACGACCACCATGCTGGTTTAACCGAATTACGGCTGAACCGTGGCACAAATCTTCGGTGTTCCTTTTGAACTGGGATACAAAGCTCAGACCGTTAAGCCACGGGTTTCTGGCTAATATGAGCTAAGCTGACAAAAAGTGATGACTACAGGATAGCTTCATAATCCCTGGAGGAAAGATTATCCTTGTCAGAAATGACGAGCTTGGCAGGAAAAAAAAGAAGGGCGAGGAAGAGTTGACTGAACCGAGAGAAGTACTTTTAACTGTATTGAGATTTGAAAGAAAGAACTGTTTGCTTCTCTCCCACAAAGGAAGAGAAGCAAACTATTAAAAAAAAAAAAAATGTTCCAACTCACGCAAAATTCTAACACTATAGTATATGGTTTGAACAACTAAAGACCTTTCCTAGCGCAGCAAGTTGACTTAGATATCCTAAAAAGCACCATCAAGTAAGTGATTTGAAATTCAGTTTGTTAATCTGAATCCTAACCTTCACAGTTTTATGTTTTTGTAGTTCAAATTCCCATCTTTTCTGTGCATTATTATTATTTTTTAAATATTTAAGTCGTGTTAGGGCTGCACGGTGGTGCATTGGTTAGCTTTCATGTGTTCTTAATGTTGTTTTTTAACTGTGTATTGTAGTTGTAACATTCCTATGAGGTAGAAATAAAGAATGTATTCAAGCTATCTGTTGAAAACGAGGCCTCGCTCACTGTAAACGCTGTTTTACAGGTGGGACTTTCCAGTGTAAAACATTGCCGATTTTGGGAAATGTGGCTTACACAGACCAACATTACAATGCTTCCGTGCAGCACATTATTGTAGATGGATGATTTCACATGGTGAATTTGATGTTGCACCAAAACAGTAGACTGTGCAGATGGCAGTCATTTTAAATTCTATAGTGACAGTACAGCGCAACTTGCTGTGCCTGCTCATGATTTAGAGCATTGAAGAAGAATGGCTGTCTGGTGAAAAAGGTTGTGCTTTTCAAGGTTGATAAATCATAGTAGCAGATCAGTGCTAATAAGGCTGTACTCATCATCAATACCTATCCCACATTGTTAGAGGCATTCCCTGTCCTGCTGTGGGTATTAGAATAACTCACCATCACATGTAAAACCTTGTCTTTATGCTGGCTATTTGACCGCTTAGCTTCCAAATTGATTCTCTTACCAGAAGTGTAGGAAGTCTAAAAGTAAACAGACAAACTTGTCTTCATGGGATTTGTCAACAATAACAAATTAACATCAGACTTGACAGTCTTAAGAAATCAGATCTAAAGAAATACCAATTGCCTTTAGGTAACGAGAAAGCGGACCCCCCAAAACATGGGCAACGTGTCTCTGTCTCCATCTCCTTCCATGGTACATAAGTGAAGCCATAATATCCCTGGTGATGTCATTTGGAGCCAAGACATTGACAGTAGGGATCTGACTTGTGGAACAGAGGAATTGATGCCACTTCCCCTTTTTGCTAACGAAAGCACAAATTTAACTTAACTACTCAGAAAAATAAAACACTCAGCATTATCAAGACAGATTCCAGGTTTTACAAAGGTTGAAGTGCATTTTCACTTTAAAGATAGACACTTGTCAGATCTGTTAAAAATGGAGGAGGTGGGGTTTATGACCTATACTGCAGCCAGTCAGCAGGGGGAGCTCTGAATCTTTTGGCTTCACTCCCAGGCGGCTGTTTTTCCATACATCTTCATATACAGCCTTTTCGGATACACAGACTACTTAATGGATACAAAATAGAATTGTAGTAGCTTAACAATGAATCAGTGACAAAGGATACCTTCCTCTTACAGTCAAAGGCAAATGCAGGCCAAAGGAGAACTTGTGGTATGGTAATGATGTCTGTCTGTACAACTGGCTGGAGTGTGATAATCAAAAGGCAGGCTGGTAAGAACAGGACTCCTGTATGTGCTCTGTGGAGACACTTATGCCCATTGCAGCGTTTGATCTTTAAGCCTGGTCTGGTGTGCTTTCCTTTCATGTCGGCCTCTCTTCTTTTTTGAGAGGGAGTGATGGTGTCCGGACAGAAGTGAGAAAGCAACAACAAAGAGAAGCAGTGAAGTCGAGCAGCAAGACTGACTGGTATGAGCTCCAACTACTGACA